CTGGAAAAAAAATAAAAACAATAATTAAAGAAAAAAATTATGACATTGGTGAGAAGAAATTTCCATTGAAGCCAATGAGCTTGGATCAGGAGACAACACTTCAGATCACACCAAAAGTGATTTCAGGCAGCCTACGTAAGCAGGGCAGCAGCGCTGTGATTTGTGAGTGCAGGCTTTGCTGCAAATGCTCCAACTGACTGCGATTTAAAAATTGTCATTGTGAAATCTGCAACTGTTAATTTAGCAAAATATCCTCTTTCATAGGTTTCATCCTCACCAGCCTTGAAGAAGACTGTGGATAGTGTGAGGAGTAAACTGATGTCAATTTGTAATTAATTCATATTATATATTTTTTTAGCTGACAATTTTTTAAGGTTTCAAATTAAATTATTTTTCAGCATGCTGCATGAATTTTGCATTTGTTGTTGTCATTGAAATTAGACATGGGGGCGAGAGATTTCACTGACATTATCTTTCCTATAATCTGTACTTGTTGATGTTATCCATCAGAAGGCTCCTGTGGCTGTTCTTTGAAAATGAAGGTCAAGCCAGCACACCCCTACAAAGCAGTTTGGTTTCAGTGAAATTATTCCATCCAAAAAAAAGGTTAAATTCAAAATATTTCAGTCTTCCTTGTGTTAGGAAGAGACTCTTTCAAAGGGACTGGCCAAATAGAGAGGTGGGAGCTGGAGCCACAGCCTAGAACCCAAGGCTGCAGAGAGGACTCCTCAAATTGGGGGAGACCTCAAATTGGGGGAGACTTCTCAGCTTGAAGGAGACTCATCATGCTGCAGTGTTCTGGTCATTCATACAGCGATCATTTTCAGTGCAGGTCTGCCACACAGAGACATTTGTGGTGGCACCAAATCAGATACCAGAAGACGTTAGTGTTCAGCTGGTGGAGTTCAGGTCGTGCTCTGGAATAGTGATGTCCCACTGCATTTCCTTGTGTCCGTGTTTGTCCGGCTCAGTTATACCCAGGGCTCTTTGGGGCAAAGAGCCAAAGTCTTTGTCTAGCTGGGAATTCATGAAGCTGAACTTTGCATTGCCAGTGTCCCTACAGTCAGCAGCGAAAGGTCGATGCTCCCACACAGCAACTCAGAGCTTGTTTTTCCTGGATTTATCAACACCTGCACCTGGATAGCAGCAGGGTTAGGTCCCAAAAACACGCGGACATCCCATGCATGGGCTCAGCCTCTACCCAGAGAGGCCGTGCTCTCCCTTCAGCCCCCGGTTTCATTGCACATCACATCCCCCTGCCCACTGCTGCTCTTTGCCATCATCACCACCGCCAACCACCTCTGCCCTGTTGATCAAAGTCCCCTGAGCAAGTAATTCTTATTTAAAGTTACATTTTACTTTCCTTTCCAGATGCTTTTTTTTTTTCCTCCTTTCCCAGATGAGCAGCCCGTGCATGGGGAAGGCATGAGCTTCAGCTCTTCCGAGCATGCAGAGCAACAAGGCATCCAGGCAGCAGTGACAGAGGCGGCGATACCCGTCGGTAAATGCCGTGCACCGCAGCAGAGCTTCCTAGCGATTAAAGGAGTCTTGGAAATGTCATTGCCCTGACCAAATGAGATAATTTGTATCTTCTGTCACCGGAATCAAATACTATTTTTTTCTTTTTGTAATTAACTTGCGACTGTGGGAAGGTGGGAGCATGGGGGTTGGGAAGGGAATTTTATGGGTAATCCAGCTGCAGTATGGAAATGATGGTTGGGTAATTGTGCTCTCTAAATGAACTTGACTCTATGGTTGGTGTCAGGTTTTGTTAAGTGCCCTGGGCCAATGGAGACTAATTAGGAATGCATTAAATATTAAAGCTCTCTGACACTGGGGCATTGACGGTGACAGAAGAAAAGAAATCCCGTAACCTAATCTGCACCCAACAGGAGTAATTTATGTTCCCTTCTTTTAACAAAGAAAAATCCAATTATTTGGCCTGCTGGAAAAAAAAATGTATTTAAAGGAAAAGTTAATTTAGAGGGGGGAAAAGCATATATGGAAAAATAATACAGATGCTGTCAACAGAGGGTGTGAGTGGCAGTCCCCCTGCAGTTCTGCATTTGTTGATGGCTTTCATTTACAACCAGGGGCTGGGAGAGTATTGCCCTGAATCCCTGCTCACCATCATAGAAGAGGAGGACACAAGGGGAAGGTTGTGCCCTCCCTGCCCTGGGGCTCAGGCCGGCTGGGTATGAGGGGAGGGCAGCAGGGGGTGCCAGTGGCCATGTGGGCGGGATTTGGGGTGTTTGTGCCTGGGTGAGGAGGATTTGGGGTGCTGGCATGGTGTCCCCGTGCTATAAGAAAGTGTACGTGCTGTAAGAAAGCATCCGTGCTGCAACGCGGGCATCTTCCAGAGGGTGTTTCTGTGGTGAGGCACGTACAGAGCGCTCCGAAATTCCAGCAATTAAACTTTCTTCCCGTCTCTTTACGAGAAAGCGTCCCTAAGAGCTCCACCTCCACACTTTGCTGTATCTACCAGTTTCCAGGGCAATTTTGTCTGACCTTTAGTTAAATGTCCTGCTCTACCAGGCAGCTCATTTCTGCTGGCCTGTCTACTTATGCAATCTAATCAAATCCAGAATGGAATATAATCAGCCTCATCTTGTAACAGCGACTTGCACAAATATCCGTCTCCCCGTCTGCCGTCCTGTCTATACGTCTATCTAATCTCATCTGCCGGCCTGATCCCAGAGCTGGTATTTAGCAGTTGCCTGCCATTGCCGCGGTGACATTTGGAAGGACCGGCTGGTCAGAAACCCCAGCGCCTGGATCCTGGGTTCAGCACGGGTCTGGAAAGGGAAAGGGGGCCACGGCTGCTCTGCCTGACCTGAGGGTGCATCCCCACAGCTTGCTCAAGACATGTTTTTTGTGGCACCTGGGGACATGCTCTAGTGGGTAACATTGATGGTAGGAGAACGGTTGGACCAGACAACCTTGGAGGTCTTTTCCAACCTTAATTATTCTAGGATTCTTCATGTGCACACTCACAGACACCCCTGGTGCCTCCCTCTGGTCTTATCTTCTTCCCCGTAGCCAACCAAAATAAAAATAAAAATGCCCCCTGGTTTATGAGATTACCAGAAAACCATTCTATAAGGGAACTTGGTTGCCACGGGTTACCAGATGCTCATCTGCCACAGGTGCTAACTGCAGACATTAAGGGGGGGGGCGAAAGGAGAGGCTGCGGTGGCTGTACCCACCAGAGCGCTGCCTGCCTGGGTTACCCACGCTGGTGTACACGTAATAGCAAGCAGAGCTTTCCCTGGGGAGAGCAGGGAAACAGCTTTTCCAAGGACTGGAGTTCCTTGTGCCGAGGTAAAGGGAGCCATTGGGCTTGGGAGCCCGTTAGCAGCATCTCTCTGCACAGCCGGGGCTGGCACCGAACCCAAACCTGTCCCAAAACTTCCTTTGCTCCAGGAGAGGGGGGAGAGGCAAATGCAGTGCCTGAGGTGCCCAGGGAAAGGATTTCTGGGTTTGTATTCTGGTGGTGGGATTACTCTGAAAGGGTCAAGGCATATGGAAAGGGCAAACAGCATAGGTGATGCTTCCAAGTGGCAGTGGAGAAGAGAAGGGAACCTCACTGAGAGGTTTCCTGGGAAGAGGAACAGCAGGAAGAGCTGTAAAGAAACCCAGCTTTGTCAGCATGGGGAAGAAGACAGGGAGGACTCAGAGAAAGGGATCACCTGAGGCTTTACGATAGGCAAATACTCAATGCCTTCACACCTTTCATTTGAGCATCTTTCAATGGTTTGCTATCCACGCAGCCTCCATGTCCTCAGGGGATCCCTGATGCTGAGCTGTGTCCCTCTCCTCCAGGCTGCTCTCCTTGCCCCCAGCTCTGGTCAGCATCCCAGAGCTATCGACTGCTCCTCGCTCCCCTCACTGCTGTTACAAATTGACTCCTCTGCCCCTGCCTCTCTGTGCTGTGGGTCCCCAGATGGCTCTTTTCTCCACGATCCATCCCTGCCCTGGGAATCTCTGGGCCCCTTGGTCCTGCTGCAGTCTCAGTCTCTCCATCAGCACAGAGAGTACTTTGCTACTACAATAATGAGAGAAAAAGAAGCTAAAAACAATACTTTACATTTCAAATAACTCCTGACACATCCCTTGTCTTTTTCTAACAGAATGACAAGCGACTTTATCTTGAAAGGGAAGGCAGCCTCCTAGAGCTGTCTACATTGTCAAAAAAAATAATTTGTAAATTCTCTGATTACCTCTGTCACTGTTAGAGTTTTCCATCTTTTTTCATTTTCCTCTCCCACTAAAGTCCCTTTATGTGACATTTCCCAAAGTGCTGCACTTACTTTGAATGTTTTCAGCCCAAAGAAAACTCCCTCTCATCTAAAGGTAGGAAGAAAAAAATTCATTCTGCCCAGAATGAATTAACACGCTGCTTTTTCTCTCTCTCTGGGCCCTGTACCTGAATCTTATATAGGATGTGAATTTCAAAAATAACTAGGTCTTTATGACTTTTTTTTTTTTTTTAAAGAATGTTAATGAGAGAGAAAGACAGACAGAGGCCCTGGAAGGAGGATTTGTTCAGTACAAGAATAACTAAAATATTTACTAATGAGAGGCAGAAGAGAAAGTAATTTAAAAGATTTAAAATAGTTGTGGGTTTTTTTATTCATGCTACTTTCTGTTTTCATTACATATTTCAATATTTGCCTACCTTTCCAGCAAAAGATTTACCTCAAGTGCGTACAAATTATCTGGCATTTGGCTAAGGACAATATGTCTAATTATGGCTCTAAAGACCTGAAATATTTTTGACTTGAGCTAAAAGTCAAACTCAAAAAAAAAAAAAGTGTAAAATTAATAATCCTTTTAAAATTCACTCCCATGATCGTTTTTGCACAGAATAACTCAATGCGAAAGATTAAAACACAGTGAATGTGAGAGAGGAAAACAAGGGACAGAGAGAAACACGGATTGTCCTGTGTTACACCCTGGCTCTAAGCAGAGTAACCTCCACCCCATGCCAACAACGAGCCTCAGACCCTGGCCATATGAAATAACTATTTACCTCCACAACTTTTTCTTCTTCTAAGCTTTTTCTCATCCTGAAGAACTAATGAAACTAAACTGATTTTCCCCTGGCATAAGGAGGAGGAGGATGAGCGGGGCTCATGGCACAGTGCGCAGGGTAGCAGGATCCGCTGTGGGGCAGGTGCTGGGTGCAGGTGGGCTCATCTGGCTACAACAGGAGGCATCACCAAATGAAGAGCAGATGGCTCCAGTCACCAGTTATTTATTTCTATAATCAGCCACAGGCTGTGATCTGAGACCTTGAAGAAATGGGTGATTGCTACGAAATCCCTTGCATCCTGGGGCTGGGCTACGGCAGCTGCCTTTGGCTCCTGAAGGACCTGCGGCATGCTCAAGAAAAGTCTCAGGCATTTCTCTCCAGCTCATGGAGCCAGTACGAACATCAAGGACAGTTTAGTCCTGTTATGTGGGAAAGCATTCAAGTCTGAGCTAAATTCAGCCTTGTTATCCTCTTGTGTGGCTTTTTCCCCATTACCTTATTTCTCCTCTGGTTATTTCCCCAGCTTGCCCTCTTCTGATCTCACTGCTTCTTCTTCTTTTATTTATTATTTTTTTTTCTTCTCATTTCTTCTCCTTCCCTTTCCTTACAGCTTGTCGGGACCGTGCTCAGCCTGCTTTTAAGCTGGGTTAACATGATCAAGAGCAGCGAGGGCTCACTGCGCCACAGCGGCCGCGGGAGCCGGACCGCACGCGTAATGCCGGGTGCGCGTGGTGCAGCAGGCTACTGCTTTGGCAGCACGACGTGCCTCACTGCTGCGCCTCTTATCTGGCCTCCCAGAGCCCTATCGCTAAGCCTATCTGTCCTCAGAGGTAGGATCAACAGAGCAGACGGGAATATTTTATTTCCTGCTGGAAGCATCAGGTAGGATGGGTATTTGCCTGCCCACCTAGGCATGCCTAGTCTATTTTTTTTTCTTATTTTCTTAATGATAGCTGCTAAACTAATATTGTTAGTAAATGCAGGCCTGCGAGGATCTTGGTAAGCAAATGAGTTGCTAGATCTGTTAAAAAGATGCAAAAAGCACCTCGTGTCAATTCCTTTTAATGACACAGGATTACTAAAAAAATAGCAAGAGTAAAGATAAAGAACTACAGAATAGTTTCATCTGCACAGAATTTGTGCTTTTCACTTTAAAAATGGTACTTTATTTTTGTTTGAATAGCTCCAGACAGACAAATATAAGGATTCATGTTTCAGCTATTTAACAACAACCCCCAAAACCCATACAAACCCAGAAACGCTCAAGCCTAAACCTGAAGAAAATTATCTGCCTCGATGGGAAAGAATCTAATGAAATCCAATCAAATCTCAGCTGGAAGAACACAGAACAGTGGCTTTGGGCATAAATCAGAAATGGAATTAATTTTGTGCTTTATTACATGTCTTAAAAATAAAAAGAGGGCACCCTACGCCTGGGAGTGCTGAACGGATTGAAGTGATGTCCACAGACTGCCAGCTCTGGTGTCCAGACGTACGGACGGGTTCGAAATCAGTCCGTGCCCTCCTGGTGGAAGAAATGCCCGCAGCAGCACTGATGATAGTGGTTTTTTTTGTTTGTTTTTGTTTTTTTTTTTGTCTTTTCTTCTGTCTTTACCATAACACACAGCATGGGAAGGCGATGCATAAAGGACCATGTGAGAAGGGCAATATGGAAGGGGATGTTTTGGGTTTCCCTGGGGCCACTGAGTGCCGTGAAGATGAGGAGGAGCATTTTGGTAGGCACAGCTGAGAAAGAGAAGTTTCACAGCTCAGAGCAATCCCAGAACTGGTCAGACTTTTTATCTGTGGACTTCTGGTGGAGATGCCAAAAAGCTCTGCAAAGTCAGGGATGGAGCCTCGGCACAGTTAAAATTTCCTGCTGGTTTTCATTAGTCAGAACTGTCTCTGTGCTTTGTTTGTTCTCAAACTAAATGGCAATGATCCCTTCTTTGTACCTGCCCAAAATTGCTCTGAACGTCACTTGTATGAGCCCATTGAGATCAATATGGGGGAAAAGAGTCTCACTCTAATTCCTGTTTTTGCTGGCTCCTCACTTTCTGTCACCATAAAAGGAAGAACAGAGTTAAAATTGGAATTTCTACCCCAGGTTTTTATCTCAGCTTGCGATGAAAATTTTAATTAGGCATTTATTATGGGCAAGAAGGTGTAAAATAAAATGTTCCAAAATGAAAGAATGCTTTATTCTGGGCATTTCCATTGCAATTATTTCCAAGTAGGGAAAAAATCAAAATATTTTGCTTTGATATGCTGAATTTCCCTGAACTTTTCCAGGTCAATTTAGTATTAAACACCTGTTTGTCCTCACTGCTACATTCCTTGCGGGAGTTGTAGCAGAGCCAGCACATTGCAAAAACTGAGGATAAAAGAATTCCGAAGAGCACATTCAAAAATATCCTGCAGCCCTGTAATGAGCCTGGTGCACCATGACTCAGAAGTGCAAGAGGAATTCCTCTCTGGAGAGCCTCGCTGATAAAGGAGGAGTGTCCAGCTCACAACCTGTTATGCATCAGTGTTTAGTGTATCATAAGTGAAAGAGGTTTAGTATCTTGCTGTGTTGTTTTCAAGGAAAACATTAAGGAAATTACAATATTTGAACTGTGTTCCTATTTTAATCAGTTTTATTCTGGCAAAAGTTATGTATTTCACATTGATTTTTATAATAAAAAACAAACTTCAGCAAATGCAAAATTTCTCTGTAAGAAACTGCATTTTCCATTGTGTATTGTCAAATCATCCCAAAGGAAAGCGCCTGAGTAACTCAATAACACATAAAGAACTGAAGGTAAAGGAAAAGAAGCGAAGCCTGAAGGCTATTTGGCCGCAGCCCAGAATTAAGGGAGGATTATAAAGATGAGCACGGGGTGGTGCAAACCCTCTTAAGCAAGGCCTAATGACTGGGGAATGACACGAAGTGCAGAGGTGTAGAGGAAGCTCTGGGAGAAGCTGCACTGAAGGTGGCTGGGCTGGGGCTGCTCCTGCTGGGCAGCTCCTGATTGTTATATTATTATATGAAACAATTATTATATTAAATGGGGTTTAACATCCCCATTGCAACACATTGCCACATGCGGCAGGGACTAAGGACCATGCATCAGGCACACACATTCTCATTTCCGTCCTGCCTTTGAATTCTCCACATTTTTTATTTTAAATTAATTTTACGAGACAAGGAAAAGATGCTGCCTTAGCTTTGTCCTTGTGAACAGCAGATCTTTCCTTGATTGAATAAATATTTTTATAGCCTAAATGTGGAGGTTAAAGTAATTTTTTTTGGCAGGTAAAATACATAGCAGTGGCCCACATTTGATCTCCCCCATTACCCTGTCCTCTGGCAACGCCCTGTATCTCTCCCTGCTCTCGCCTGCCCAGCAGGTCATGGCTGCTCTCTGACCACCTCCCCTGCTCCCAGGCACTCTCCTGGGACACTGTTCCCACAAGCAGGTCCTGCAAACCCCACTGCCATGGGTTATCTTCAGTCCCAGCCCCAAAGCACTCCAAAACAGAAAGGCAAAGCTAGGAAAGTTGTGGTCTCACCATTTGTAGGCAAGGAACAGAAGCAGAAAGAGATTACCAACTGCAAATAAAGCTTTGCTGCCTGACCATGCATGGTCAGAATCCTGTGCTGCAGAAGGACTCTGCTCTGGTGGGATGAGATGTGAAGGACGAGGCCAATGTGTCACCAATGCCATGTAACCACCATAGAGCTGGAGCCCTCCAAATTGCTTTGGGCAAGATCCGAAGGCGTGACATCAGCCTCATCACCTGCTTAGTCCGAGGCAGAGCAGGTGGAGGTAAGACCAAGGTCGTCACTTATCTCAGCAAGGAAGCGCTAAGCTGAGCTGAACAGACGTGTAACCCCGCTCTGCCTTTCTGCCAGCCTCTGATAGGCAAATCTTCCTGCTAAAGCTAACGTGTCAGTGGCGTGGAGGAACACTGTTATCTTCTTATCAGGAGATAAGATGACAACCACAAATATCTTGGCCTGAAAGACTCTGCTATCACCAAGGGTGAACATCAATGTGCTTCACAAATAATCTAATTTAGCTGAATAACAGAGGATTGGATGTGGGAGGTAAAACTCAAAGCTCAGGTGTGAACAGGATGTGAATTTTGTACACGGATGCGGCAGTGGAATAGCAAAAACATGCAAACCTTTTTCTCTATAAGGCACTCTCTATATGAGTGCCTAGGTCAGCACACAGGTCCCTGTGCAATAGATACAGTAATCATAAATGGGGCATCAGTATTCAGAGTCCCCAGATTTACCTTAAACACATAAAACCATCTCTCCTGCCATGGGTGGCTTGTTTCACCACGTAATCCACACGTTCCCTGCTATAGTCACAGCAGGCATAACTTCCGCAGGGACTTTTCAGTGTCAACATATTTTGGACTGTGATGTCTCTGAGACAGAAAGTTTTCTTTTTTTCTCTCTTTGTGTACCTCAAGGTAGGCGCTGGGGGGGCTTTTAGACACACCACATAATGAGTAACTGCAGTCAGTCACTCCTCCATCCCTCCCTCTCCCTGGAGCATTCAGTGTCCTTGTGCCTCTACCCAGACACATTGAAAAGAACAATTTTTCTTGTGACAAGTAAGGCAAGAAGTGTGAGTTTGTGTCTGACAGGTTCAGGGAGAAGCTCGCAATGAGGCAATTAGACAAGGAAAGTGCTGATTAGAAGCACTGTCACCCATAGCAAGGCAAGAAACAAATTTTAAGTAGCAGGAAGAAATGGGAGGGGGGGTGAAAAATAGAGAAAATGAAGCATTTGATAAAGCAGCAAGTTGGAATAAAAAGTTTTGTGACTGACAAGGTCTGATCTCAGGCTCAGGGATTGGCCTCATCCAACCTGGTCCTGACCACCTCCCGGGATGGGACATCCAAGGCCTCTCTGGGCAACCTGTGCCAGTGCCTCACTACCCTCTGAGGGAAGAATTTCCTCCGAACCTCTAACCAAAATCTCTCCTCTTTTAGTTTAAATCCATTCCCCTTTGTCCTGTCATTATCTGATTGAGCAGAGTCCTTTACAGAGTCGATTACTGAAAGGCCGCAATGAGGTCCTCCAGAGGTAGGCCGAACAGCCCCAGCTCCCTCAGCCTGTCTTTGTAGGACAGTTGCTCCAGCCCCTTGATCATCTTCATGGTCTCCTCCAGACCCTCTCTAATACCCCCAAATCCTTCTTGTGCTGGGGGCCTCACATCTGGACTCAGTTCTCCAAGTGAGGCCTCATGAAGGGGACAATCCCCTCCCTCCCCTGCTGCCCACCCCTGTGGTGACGCAGCCCATTTGTTCGAAAATCACAAAAAAAGGTGCTTTGTGCAAAGCCACTCCATGTCTACTGGGCTGCCCTGTGTGGGCAGGAGGAAGGCTGTGCCCCCCCTGCCCCAAAGCCATCAGTGTGCTGCAAGAGGTTGGTGGAGGGCAGAGATTTGCCACCAAGGGAGGGAGGGCAGGCTGTCGGGGCGTGCAGGCAGCACTGCTCCAGACGTGCTCATTTCCAGGAGGGCTTTTCAAAAGTGTTCCTGCACACCCTGTAATTCACCCTGAGCTGATGAGCAGGGAGGGAGGGAAGGAAATAGCACAGACTGTACCTGCACTGAATCGTTCTTTTTAAAACACGTATTCTCCACTTTAGTCTTTCCGGTGATTTTATGCAGCATCAGATGGCTATAACGTGAGCTGCAGCGAGTGTCCAAAGGACTGTGGGCCACCCAGATTGGATATATGTATAACTGGCTCTGCCTCATAGAGTGGTGACAACAGGCAGTAAAACGTTAACAACAACACGGTAATAATGACATTATAAAATGCATTCATCTCCAGGACTGTCACAGGGCTGGAGAGCCCGCCTACAGCAGATTTCAGCAGCCACTTGCTCTGGGCACAGGACTCTCTGTTCTCCCTGGAAGGAGATGCCTGGGAAAGTGGCTGCTGCATGGGGCTGGTGACCTCTGGTGGGACATTAAGCAACCCGCTGGGCAAAAGACACTATACAGACCAGGTAGAAGAAAATTTAACTTGCTGTACATTGCACAGCTTTTTGTGCTTTTGTTAGGGAATGTCCCCAGCTGTTGCTAACAGGCACACCGAGCTGAAGGCACACTACCCAAAACTGACCATTACAGGGGAGCCCGGGGCTTGTGGAGATGTTCAAGCAGCAAACAGCAAACACGCGGCCGCAATTTGAGGACAGGAGGGGAGAAAGTGCTCTGCCTCTTATGGAATTTAGGTGAACGGACTGTAATTACCCAAATATTTATGGGTTCTCTTTATTGTATGAGTCACTGAGGACTTGTGAGGGGGCAGACAATTTCCATTTTGTTTAGGGCAGAAATATCCCCGGAGACCTGGCTGATCTATGGAGCTGCCATATCAAACCCTCCTAGGAAAGGAAAAAAAAAGATAATGCATTTATTAGTCAGCTCACATTGGGCTGTTCTGTGTAGAAAAGGAAAGAACTCAACTGAAAAATGCTTTTGAAACCACAATTCCATAAGCATCTGTCTCATTTCAAGTACGGCTGGGGCCTTTCTGTCTCCTGAAAGGGAAGGAGAGGGTGAATTCAAATCATCTGCAGCACTGGAGTGCTGAAGGGGAGAAAAAGTCATTTCCAAGCAGCACGGCGTCCCTGCAGACAGTGACCAGGCAGGAATAAGCTCCTCCAGGAGCAGCACGTTCCCCAGCGCCCAGGTCCCTCCCCAGATGCATTGTGCTGCCACCCCTCTGCTCTCCCTGCGGCTGAGATCACAGCTGCGTGGCACAGCCAGAGGAGAAACATCATCAGTCTTGGCTGTTGGGAAAATGGAGAAAGAGGGAGGAAGGAGAAGGTGGGTAAACAGCATTAGACCCCATCAGCCTCCTGTTGTGCTCCCCATAACTGCTGGGTTTCTGCAGGGCTCCCTGACACAAGCAGCAGAGCGGGGGAGCTCTGAGGGTCCTGGTGTTGGCAAGGCAGGAGGAGGTTGGGCACCGGGCTTGGAAATGCCCCTTCCCACACTGCCATCCATCCTCAGCCCCTGGCACGAGGGCACAGGGCGAGAGGTGCAGACCCCAGACCCCAGCACTCAGCAGGGCTCTGAGCATCACAGCTCCCTTGGCTGTGATGCCCATGAAGGAGGCAGTCAAGGGAAAAAGGATACCGAGAGCAGGCAGGAGCGGGGGTGGAAACTAC